CAAAGCACAGCAGCTCTCAATCTTAGGAGAGTGCTGTCACTTAGATTATGGCTGTTCCCCCAAATGACCTCAAAGGGATCTCCAGAGGCTGCTGTGATTTTTCAGGCTGCAGGGCTCCACTCACACCTTCCCAAGGCCTTGGGGTGGCAGTTTAGAGCAGCCCCACACTGCACATGCTGCAGGAGCTGTGGAGGAGTCACTAAATACTCAACACTGAACAGGCAGGCAAAAACAACCCAGTCAGAAGAAGCGGGAATTTCAGCCCAAAGACCTTTCTAATTCACCAGCAAAACATGTGGAACCACACCAGGCAAAGCAAATACCACTGCTGGCTTCAACCCTTGGGTGCATTTGGGATGGAAACCTGAGGATTATAATTATTTCCTAAACTTCCCACAGTGGCCATTCTCTCTGCTGCTCCTCTTGCCCCCCTCAATGAGAAGCTGCAGTTTGTCCAGCATGTGCCCTGGCATGTTTCCACATGTTTTCCATGAATGAGCAGAAGGTAAAGGGGTCAGTGTTAACCTGGACAGCCCCACTGGTGGCCCTGTGCATGTGCTTTGGAGTAAGCATTTCGCTTGCTGCTGGCTCCACTAGAACACAACACAAACTCACAACGTAAATTCCTAGAGGTTTACAACACCCACAGACATCCCTGTGGCTCCTGGGTTAGCAAGTGTTTATTTTTAGGAAGGATGTGGCTAAAGCCTGCAGTTGTGGCCAGTTGTCTCTGTGCTGGGTATCCACCCCCGTGCTGTGTAAGCCCACGAACATCCGTGTCTCCCTCTGTCTCATCCTCTGGTTCCAGTTGCTGCCTGCTCTGTGATGTCCCACCCAGACACACACATGTCATGCAGGACACCCTGAGCACCCCAAAACCACACCACAATCCCCCCTTTGGTAGTACTTGCATGCTTTGAGCCCCAAGAGTGCTCCTGAGAGCTTCTTGTCCCCTCCCTGTCTCCCAGCACACACAGGCAGGCTGTGGTTAGTCCTGCAAGCCCAAGTCCTGGAGTTCTTGCATGAAAACAAAATAAAGAATGAAAAAAAAATCCCTCTTTTCCTTCCCAGCTCTCCTGTGGGCACTGCTGCAGCATCTGGACTATCAGCCCCAAACCCCTTGGGCATGGGAGGGAATGATGGATGGGGTCAGACAAAGAAGCCGAGATGCTGTTTAATGAGCAAGTGAAGTGAACATCACTATTGGCTGTGTTCAGCCTGGGAGGGGAAGCCTGGCCAGCAACAGCTTTGGGAAGCATTAACAAAGGGAGATTCAGGATTGGAGAAGATAAGTAGAAGGGGGTGTGAAATGGCACTCTGTATCTGCTTTACATGCTTTGCTCCTCCCTCCCCTGGGGTTGCTAGGGATATTCACACAGCTTCCCACCTCCTGGTGAGTCCCCTGCCACACTCTCTGGGGTGTCTCCTGCCCGGCATCTCCTTCCAGCCTGTCCATACAGCCCAGAATCGTCCTCACTCCTCCCACAAGATGCCCAGGACATACCAGCTCTTCCTACCCTCCTGTGCCCACCTGTGAGCGACACAGAGCCCTCCCCACTCCTCCAGGAAGGAAATCCTGACTTCAGCCAGGTGTTTTCCTGAACAAACCATCCCACAGAGATCAAAACAAAGAGCAGCTGTGGTCAGGCAAGCACCATGAATGTGCAAGGCACAACAAAAACCAAACCAAACCAACAAGATGGGTCCCTCTTACCAGTCTCTGTGTTCTCCCCCCATACACGATCCCCCCTCCTCGCAGGGAAATCCCACACTGATGACCCCAGAGGGATATCCTGCCACGATGCTGGACTGTACATTTACTCCTCATTGGACAATTCATTGTTGTAATCTCCACTTCAGCCACTGATCTGATTTGTCTGGGAGTGGCATCTGCTGCTCGGAATCAGCCTGGGTTCATTTACATTTGCCCAGCGACAGCACGGGGGCTTTGTTTTCTTAGAAACCAAAACACGAGCATCATTAAATTAATCTATCCTCCTGTTTTTCGCAAACAAGATTAATTCAGAATTGCTTTGCTCAGGTCTGCCTCCCTACCACATTTTCAGAGCAGACTGTCTGAGCTCCTATTTCCTGAGCATGTGCACCAGAGCTCCTCTCCCGCGTTTCAGAACAAAGAGCAGATTCCCTTTGTTGTCCCGTAGCAACAACGTTCGAGATCAAGAGCCAGTCCCTGTCTTACTGAGTTTTCCCTGTTCTGCCTGGTTCCAGGTGCTCAGAGACATGTGGGATTTGTTTTGATGGGCAGGGCTATGCTAAGACAGGATTGTTTCTTCTCCAGCTCCCATGGAGACAGCAAGGGAGAAATCACAACATGGGTTTAAGCTTGCTTTCTGGCTTAGGGTCAGTGCTGGACTCCCTCTGGGATCCATCCAAACCACTGCCCTAAGCTGCTGTGTTTATATTGCTATTTAATTTGGGTCAAATAGAATTAAGAGCACATCCCACTTTTTCTCCTTTTCAGCTAAGAAGTGGGCTGTGTTCCCCAAGCTCCCAGTAGAGCCCTGCAGTTCAGAGAGCTCTTGGTGCTTCAGAGGTTCACCTGTCAGCAGGAGAAGCAGTTGTACAGGATTTAACAGAGAACAACAGGCTCAGGCAGCTGCCCTTGCCCCTTCTTTAATAACTGTACTACCAACCAGAGCCTGGGGAATTCACACACCAGGCATCAAAACACTGGGAAGAGCACAGGAAGAGCACAAAGGAGAATGGGCTGCTTTCCAGGATTTGCCTGTTTGATCATTAGAGAGATGTCAGGGCTGGACACTGAACATATGGGAGCACTTTCCATCCTTTAGTACTGTCCCACAGGTTTAGAATAAAAACATCCCCTTGATTTAACTTATAACAGGACGAAAGGAACCGGGAAAAAAACATCAGCAAGAGCTATTTTGCTGCAGATGGGAACACAGACAAGTGGGAAAACCAGCAGGGATTCAAATCCACTGACTTTTTTCAGTTTTTCAGCACCAGCCTGTGCCTGGGCAAAGTCTCTTTCCAAACCCAGGGGTCTAGCCCATGCTATGGGATCCCCTGCCACAACAGGCACTGACAGGGGGCTCTGAGCTCTAGGGGAAGGTGTCCCTGCCCACGGCAGAGAAAAGAATGAGATGAGCTTTAAGGTCCCTTCCAACCCAAATAATTCTGTGATTCTTTGAGCAGCTGTTTCAGGGACTATCATGGGCACCCAGGGGTAACATCATGGCTCATGCACCAGAACTAACATGCCATGATAGTTCAGCTCCCCATGAACAGTCTGAGGCTGCCTCTCCTCCCGTCCTCTCTCTTCCCACTCCACACGCTGCTGCTCCCACTTAGGAAGGGGATGGAGCTTGCAAAGAGCTCCAGGCAGAGGCTGGGAGCTGGGGTGAGTGTCACTGTCCCACGACCTGGGTAAAGGCCCCTGTCACTGAGCTAAGGAAGTCTGGACTGCATCAGCTCTGTGCCTTGAAGAGCCCCAGCAGGATGCTGGAAGAGGGAGCAGTAGAGCTTGCTCTGGTGGGGCTCATTTACTGCCTTCTCATAACAAAACTATTACAGCAGCCGTGGTGCACTTCTGCATTAACAGGGCTTTGTTAATTGTCATCTGAAGTGGAGCAGAAATGGTTAGAAAGATTTTCCTTGATTAAAACGTTGTCACTGATGAGGAATTCAACAGACCTCTGAGAAAACTCTTCCAGCCATAGCTTTGTTTTAAAGTCCATGGCTGGTTTCTAGCACAAGCACTTTATCTAATTACATCAAACCCTCACTCCATTTTAGCTTTATCAGCTAGAAGAGCCTAATAGCAAAGTTTAATCACTTCAACAAGTTGGCTACAGCAATCTCTTAATTTTCTGATATGACAAAATATCAAGCCAGACCCAGGGAAAGACTCAGACAGAACCAGCCACTGCAGATGTTTAACTGCAAGCTCTGACACCAAAATCCAGGACCCAACACTTCCATGACACTATTTAAACCTCCATGGGAGCTGCCCAAGTGGTCACCAGGAATGACAAAGCACAGAGACACTGCCTGACCAAGTCAGACAAGGAAGCACATCATCCAGATTTACTCCCAAGGGTATAATCTTTGGGTATGCCCCAAAAGATATAACCTTTTCACATATAAATTATCCTGGAGCCACCTCCTCATGCACAATAACCTCTGGCTGGGGTATTCATGGAGGAAGGTGGACTCCCAGTTCAAGTTCTTCCTTATCCTCATGGTACTGAAGGGAGTTCACCCTCTGAAGAGGAGCCCTGGCCCTGATTATGAACCAGGACGGAAGATGGGAGAGGCAAAGAACAACATTTGGTTGTCAGTGGCCTCTCACTGTGGCCCAAGACAAGCAAACTTTGTTGGGCCAGAGGCAAGGCAGGGATGCTCACTTGGGAGGCAGGTCTCTGCTCTGCTGCTGGGGCTTCTCATCCTTTCTGACCTCACACACACCTCACAGAGAGGTGGTGGAGTCTCCCTCCCTGGAGATATTCCAGAACTGTCAGGACACAATTCTGTGCCATGTGTTCTAAGATGACCTTGCCTGAGCAGGGAGGCTGGGCCAGGTGAGCCACTGTGGCCCCTTCCAACCTGACCCATTCTGTGATTCTGTGAATACACTTCAGCAGCACAGAGCTCCAGGACCGGTAAGGGGAGTGTTTTCCAGGGATTTGCAGTGGCCTCTGTGCAAGGAGAGGAATTAAGAATTTGGACTCAGAATCTAGTTTACATGCTCAAAATCTGCTTTAGAGAAGAGGCCTTCTCTGTGAAACATATTTTCTAGTCCTTTAACCATCTCACAACTTCACCTGGAGTTTTCTCCAGTTCCTGACTGTCCTCCTTGAGGTGTGGACACCAAACCCAGACACACCATTGCCAACAACAGCTGTCACAGGGGGACACCCATTCTCAGAGCTGCCAGTCAGGGACTTTCCATCACTGAAAGTGGCACACAAAGGAAAGAAACCTTCACCCCACACAAAAATGGAGAAAGAGGCACTTACCCACTTGTTCCAGGTCTCTGGGTCTGAGAGAAGCGCCAGTCTGTGTTGGGCTGAGCTTGCTGCAGAAAAAAATGAGAGTTTTAATACCTCCATTCTTTCCTTTGAAAAATGAAAGCGAGCTGATCCTGGATTATTTCAGTCTGGAATATCAGCATGTTCCTTCCCAGTGAAGCAAATCAATTAGAACAAAGAGAGAGCTCCCTCCCTCTTCCTTGAGTATTTCTGAACCAGCATGAATACTGAAAAGCATGACAAAAACTGTTCAGAGAATGATCTTCCAAAGCAGCTCAGGAAACCAGGCTGTGAAAGAAATGAAGCATGAAATAAACTGATAAGGGCATCAATTCAGCAGGAGCAGTGGTACCACAGTAATGAGCTTGGAGGAGGAAGGGGGGGTGTGGGGGTGGCAGAGTTAATTGATACTGAGGAAGATGCTTTTAATGCTCTAAGGTAAAATCGTAACAGACCTTCCTAATCTCTCCTCCTTCTGTCCTTAAAAAAGCCTACCTGAGACCTTATTTTCATACATTGTATTTGAATGACTTTTCCTAGATGCTGTGGCCTTGGAGCACGACAATATTTTTCTGTCCACAGAGAAAAGAATGAACTTCCGACAGCAAGAGGAAAAAGCATTATTTGTTTAGGAGACACAATAACCTTCAGGCACAACAGCACACTTTGTAACCTCATTAAGAAGCCCCCGTATCACTTTCTGCCCATGTTATTTTACCAACAGACAATGAACATTCTGTAAATAAGGAAGGACATGGAGCATGCTTGCTTATTCCTGTTTGAATTACGCCTTTGTGGAAAACACTAAATAGCAGAGCTGTTTTCAGTCTGGAAGACACACACTTCCGAAAATCATAATGAACTCTTAATTAAATAATTAAATAATAATAATTAAATCTTGATTAACTCCAGAGTGATGACATACTACCTGGAAAGGACAACACTTCTCTCAGCTATTTTAGGAATGAGCTGTTCATAGTCCACACAATGGAACATCAGTTTTATAGGATTATTCTGCTTGTACATGCAATTACTAAGGAAAAGTGAAGACAGGGCAGAGCTGACCTAGATTTTTTATTTAGTAGATGTGCTTTTATTAATTTCTCTGCAGCTTTGATGATCCTCATGAAAGAAGATATTAGAATAAATTACTCCCCTGAAATAGATGCCCCAGTGGTCCCCAAGCCGCATGCAAATGAAGCTGTTTAAATACTTGCCCTCCAGATTTCAAATACACATTTTTGCACACGCTGACACACAATCCTGCACTAAAGAAGCCCTTCCCAATCTATATTTTGAGTTCCTGTTGTAATTACCATTTTCAAATTTAGGGCAGGCATTTGTGACACAAAATTGCGTTACTTTTTATATCCCCAAGTTATAAAAGCTACAGCTAAACACAGTCACCTACATCTATATTTAGGCATCTGAGTACAAGTAGCTCAAGTTTTCAAAGCTTGCCTCTGCCTCAGCCTCTGCAAGCCCAAGGGCACATAAGGTTACCAGGATCTTTGTGAATAATGCCACTACTGACATTTCGGTAGTTCAGTGCTGAATAGTGAATTCAGCCCTTTGCTCAAGCTGAAAAATGATCCCTTGCTGGGGCACAGTCAGTAATTAATAACACTTGGAGGTTAAGAAATGAGAAATTTCTACAGTGCACCTCTAAAACTGAGCGAAAGAAACACTGACAGACTTTTCTTCCACGTAACATCTCCCGTGTCGTGGTTTGTATGCCGGGCAGAACAAAGGGGTTAAATGGAATCAAGAAGTTAATCCCCCCCTAAAAAACATGTCCCTGACCACGCTAAGAATCACTTTAAAAAGAAATGAGTATGAACGGGGCCAAGAGGAAACTCTCCACTGACACAAACACGCTGTCTCTGATTCTATAGTGCTGCTCAGCCCCGTGTCCCCCAGCTCCACCGAGCTCAGCCAAAACTTTCACCTGCCCCCTCCCAGGAGGTGACGGTGACACACATTCCCCGAGGCCACTTTCTTAGGAGGAAGGACAGACAGAGAAGAGCCAGCTGGCCTGGATATTACAGACTGTTGCACTTAGCAGAGAGGACAGTAAGAAACAGCCATCTCTTACCCCATCGCAGGGACTCGCTAAGGTGCTGGTCACCTGCTCATAGGCAGCCACGGTCTCCGCAGTGCTAGAATGGCTGAAAGGCTTTACAAAGAGGAAATCGCTCTGCTCAGACATGGGCGAGAAACAAGAGGTGTAATTCTGTGCCTGGGAGGTCAAACCCGCTCCTCCCACGTCCAGGTACTTGATGAAGCCATCTGGCTTCATCTGCCCTCGGAAATGGGAGGAGGGCTTGCGGCCAGTCCCCCGGCAGCAACCCGCCAAGGTCCAGCTGGCACTGCCAGCTTTGAGACACCGGGCAGCCACCAGAGCAAACATCACACAGGACATAAGGGAAATGGACACCAAGGAGATGATGAGGTAAAGCGTTATGTTGGTATCCTTGGGAGAAGACTGCGGGAGGTCCAAGGACTTGGAGAAGTCCTGCACGCTGTTTTCCTCCGGGGAAATGACTATTACCACGGAGGCCGAGAGGGACGGTGTGCCATTGTCCCTCACTTCGACCACCAGCCTGTGGGAATCTTCTGACTCCCTGAGAGCCTGTGCAAGCCTTATCTCTCCAGAGCGGCGTTCCACTTGGAAAGGCAAAGCCTCAGCCGTCTCCTGCAGCTGGTAGGACAGCCAGGCATTATGGCCACTATCAGCATCAACTGCTACAACTTTGGTGACCAGATAGCCAGGCTCTGCCAAGGCCGGGATGACCTGGTGGAAGGCAGAGCCCTTGGGGACAGAGGGATAGACAATGTTGGGAGCATTGTCGTTCTCATCCAGGACGAACACATGGACCACAGCAGTGCTACTCAGCACAGGAGACCCAGCATCCTTCACCTCCACAGGCACCTGGAACACCTTATCCTGCTCATAATCCAGAGCTCGCACGGTGTAGACGGTGCCATTGTCCTGGTCTATTCGGAAGTAGGTTGAGACGGGTACATCCTGCATCCCATTATCCAGGATGGAGTAAGACAGCTTGGCATTGCTACCCTCATCAGGATCAGATGCTGACACTGAAAAGACAGAAGTTCCAGGAAGGGAGTTTTCCTGAACGTGAGCTGTATCAAAAGGGCTGGAGAAATTCGGGGCGTTATCATTCACGTCAGCAATGTGGAGGTAAAAGGTTTTTTGTGTGGCCCTCTGGGGGGACCCAGAATCCACAGCCCTCACTGTGATGTTGTATCCACTGGCCTTCTCCCTATCAAGGGGACCACTTGTGACCAGCGAGAAATGCTCTTTAAAAGATGACACCAGTTTAAACGGGAGCTCTTTCGCTATCTGCAGGTGGACCTGCCCGTTGTCACCGGAATCGCTGTCCTTCACACCGATGAGGGCAATCACAGTGCCTGGGGTTGCATCCTCCTGCACTGGGCTGGAGACAGAGGTCAGCACAATCTCTGGGCTGTTATCGTTGATATCAATTAACTCCACTCGCAGGTGACAGTGGCCTTCCATGGCTGGGGATCCCTTGTCCCTGGCTCGAACTGCTATCTCATAAGCACTGGATTCCTCGTAATCCAGCAGGGCTTTAGTTCTGATCTCCCCTGTCCGGGGATCTAAGGAGAACAGCTTGGTGAATTTACCAGGTGCGTTATTGCTGGTTTTGAATGAATATTCCACATCCCCGTTGGGACCTTCATCCAGGTCGGTGACATTCAACTTGGTGACCAGAGTGCCCACTGGCACATTCTCCTCCAGGTGTACCTTGGATATGGGTGGGTCACAGACAGGAGGGTTGTCGTTTGCATCCAGGATATGGATGGTAACCTTGGCAGTGCCAGATTTCACTGGATTCCCTCCATCCAGGGCTGTCAGTGTTAGATGATGAACAGGCACTTTCTCTCTATCCAGTGCTTTTTCAAGTACAATCTCAGGCATTTTAACACCATCCCCTCTCACATTGATGCTCAGGGCAAAATGCTTGCTGGGGCTGAGCTCATAGGTGGAGATGGAGTTGGAGCCCATATCCGGGTCTTCTGCTACCTCCAAGGGTAGCCGAGTCCCAGGGTTGGCTACCTCAGTGATCTCCAGCACCACCTCCGGCTTGGGGAACTGGGGCGCGTTGTCGTTCACGTCGAGGACGTCCACCTCAACACGGTGGAGCTGGAGGGGGTTCTCCATGACGAGTTGGAGGTGCAGGGAGCACGTGGGGCTCTGCCCACACAGTGCCTCCCGGTCCAGCCTGCTGTCGAGGAGCAGCACACCTGCCGCCAGGTCCACCTGGAAGTGCCGCTGCCCACCCTCGCTCACCAGGCGCAGGTTGCGGGCGGCCAAGCTCCGGACCTCCACCCCTAGGTCCTTGGCCAGGTCGCCCACAGAGAAGCCCGGCTCTCGATCCTCGGGCACGGAGTAGTGGAGCTGGGCGCAGCTGGGAGCCGCCAAGCAGGAGAGAGCTGCGAGCAGCAGCGGGAGCTGCCATGGCAAACTCCGTCCCGCGAGCATCCCGTGCCGGGTGTGCGAACGGAGCCGCGCGGAGCGGAGCGGCGGCGGCTCCGCGCAGCCTCCCCCGCCTCCCCGCCCCCGCTGCCGGCCCCGGCCGCCGGAACCCCCGCGCCCCGGGGGGGTCCGAGCGGGCTGTGCAGGGAGGAAGCCGCCGCCGGAGCCGCCGGAGCCGGACAGGGAAGGATGGAGGGGGCGGGGGGGGGGCGAGCGCAGCCCGGCCGGATGAACCGCTTCTCGGTACGCAAAGACACACAAAGTCGGCGAGCGGAGGGGATGGACCGAGTGACAGTTTTACGTCTCTCCACAGCCCCCTCCTCCTCCTCCTTTTTCTCTCCTTCCTCCTCCCCTTCTCCTTTTCACCGCCTTCCCCAAAATACGCACGGCGTAGCCCCCCCCCCATCCCCCGCCGCCGCCACTCCGCCCCCGCAGCGCCGGGAGGGCGCCGGGGACTCCCGGCAGCGGGAACCCCGCTCCGCCCTGCCCTGCTGCTGGCAGCGGGCACCGGCCGCACCCCCTGCCCAAAGCCGGCTGGGGGTCCCGCATCCCGAGCCGGCTCGGTGCCGAGCCCCGCACACACCGAGGCTGCGGTCAGGCTGGAGAACACACTCCCAATCTCACCTCGCTGTACAGGGGAGGAGGATCCGCGGAGGGTTTCACAAACATGAACTCGCTGATATCCGAGACCGGCGAGAAGCAGGAGCGGTAACGCGGGGCGGGGGGAGCTGTTGCTGTCACCTGCACGCCCATCACGGTGTCCCCTTGCTTAGGCTCATAGTGCAAGTGCCCAAAAATGTGGCTGGGAGGGGGCTGAAGCGTGTTCACGCTCTCCACGCAGCAGCCCTGGTTGGCAGGTGCAGAGCCCCGCCGGAGGCACCGTACGCCCAGCACCGCCAGTCCCACCAGCGAGACGGTGGAGATGAGCACTAGGGATACAATCAGGTAAAGCGTGATAGTGGGCAATCCCCCACCGTCAGCAGCCCGACCCTCGGAGCCCTGCAGGGCCTCTGGACCCTTCTCCTCCACCAGCACCACCAGTGTGACGGCTGTGGAGAGTGGGGGCTCCCCGGCGTCCCGGATCACCACCAGCAGTTCGTGCGCAGAGGCGTCCGTGTCCTGCAGAGCCCGCGTGATCCGGACCTCCCCGGAACGCAGGGCCACGCTGAAAAGCCCCAGGTCTGTGGCTTCCACGAGGTGGTAGGATAGCCAGGCATTGCGCCCCGAGTCCGCATCTATTGCCACCACCTTGGTGATGAGAGCAGGAGGGGCGATGGAGGGGGAAATTCGGAACTGAGCAGCGGAGTCCTCCCCAGCCCTGGGGAAATGCACCTGTGGGGCATTGTCGTTCTGGTCCACTATAAAAACATGAACCAGCGTCCTGTTCCTCAGGGCCGGGGAGCCACCATCAGAGACCTCCACGTGGAACTGGAGATAGGTGGTTTGCTCATAGTCAAAAGGGAACTTGGCAGTGACCTGCCCATTCGTGGGATGTATGGAGAGGTAGCGAGTAGGATCCAGGCCTGGATCTGTCCCACCAGCTCGCAGGATGGAGTAGGAGAGGCGGGAATTCTGCTCCGAGTCAGGGTCAGCAGCAGAGACCGTAACCAGCACGCTGCCCACTGGATTGTTTTCTGCCACCAGCACTTCATAGGATGCTTGCTCAAACTGGGGAGCGTTGTCGTTGACATCTGTCAGGGTGATTGGCAAGATGGTGTGGCGGGAGAGTGGGGGATTGCCCAGGTCCGAGGCAGAGATTGTGACATTGTAGTAGGCAACATGTTCCCGGTCCAAACGGGTGCTGGTTAGCAGCGAGTACTGGTGCTCGTAGTCCTTGCGCAGCTGGAAGGGAAGATCCGGAGACACGTGGCACAGGACCTTGCCCTGCTCCCCAGAGTCCCTGTCTCTGACGTGTATCACAGCCACCACTGTGCCCGGCAGGGCGTCCTCACTCAGGGAGCTGGAGAAGGAGGTAAGAATGACCTCGGGTGCGTTGTCATTCACATCAGTGACTTCCACCACCACGCTGCAGTGCTCCTCCATCGTGGGCGACCCCATGTCCTTGGCCTCCACTTCGATCTCATACACCGTCGCCTCCTCGAAGTCCAGGTTGCCCTGGACACGAATCTCCCCAGTTTGCTCATCGATGGCGAAGATCTGGCGTAAGGCAGCCGAGTTGTGGCTGCTGAGGGAGTAGCGAATGTCTCCGTTGGGTCCTTCGTCCACATCGGTGGCATTTAACTTCACCACGAGGGTGCCCAGCGGCGAGTTCTCCACCAAGCGGGCTCCATAGGATGGTCTGTCAAAGACAGGGTGGTTGTCATTGGCATCCAGGACCTGAATAGTGATGCGTATCTTGCTGGACTGTGGGGGAGAGCCCCCATCTTCAGCAGTCAGGACCAAGTGATGAAAAGCTCTGAATTCCCGATCCAGGGCCCGCTCCAACACCAGCTCAGGGAACTTCCCACCATCAGTGCGTGCCTTCACGTTGAGGTTGAAGTTGTCGTTGGCACTCAGGTGATAGGTCTGCAAGGTGTTGGTGCCCACGTCAGGGTCCTGGGCAGGCTGGATGGGGAAGCGGGCACCCAGAGACGCCAGCTCGTAGATGCGCAGGGAAACCTCCTCACTGGGGAATTCGGGGGGGTTATCATTGATATCCAAGATCTCCACCTCAATGCGGTAAAACTCCACTGGGTTCTCGATGGCAAGTTTCAAGTGGAGGAAGCAGCGTGGGTTCTGCCCGCAGAGCTGCTCCCGGTCTATCCGCTCGCTGACCATTATAACACCGGTGTTCACGTTGACAGAGAAGTACTGGGAATCCGAATCGGACAGTACCTGCAGATTAGCTGCCGCCAGCTTCGCCACATCGGTGCCCAGGTCCTTCGCAATATTGCCCACAAAGGCACCCCGGGTGAGCTCCTCCGGGATGCTGTACCGGATCTGAGCGGAGGAGCTGTGCAAGAACAAACAGAAGGAGAAGACACGCGGCAGCCCCAGGGACCGGCGCGCCTGCCCTGCCCTCGGCATCCTTGCCGGGTGGCCGGCCGGGCAGCGATGCCCTCCGCGCCGGGGGCCGCGCTCAGCGCTCGCCGCTCCCATTCATTGTTTGGGGCGGACGCGGCTCGGCGGGGCGGGGGCGCGCCGGGGCCCGGCGCAGCCGCGCCGCCATTGGCTGCGGGCGCCGCGCCGCCCTCCAATGGGCGCGCCGCTCTGCCCGGACAGCAACACGGCGGCCAATC